ATATGTTCTGTACTCTTAGCCAGGAAAGAATAAATGCTGTACTGGTTATTTGGCCCCACCTCCTGTTTCCTTCTCCTTTGAGAGTAGCAGCAATATGTATGCTGTTCACATTCACCTTCACTATGTTCTTCACTATATGGCTTAGTCATAGATAAGTGTGAAATACTCTAAACAGAGTACTTGGAGGCTAGATGATGTTCCTAGTGAGAACACACTGTGCAGACACAGCCTTTAAAAAAGGCTTCAGACTGAGTCAAATGATAATTCATTTCACCAGAATGCTGAGACTTTCCTGGTGCAGAATATAGAACATACTTTCTACAATATAAAAGTTTCAACTTTTTCTTCACTGCCAATTTGGCCAAAGGGCTTTATGAAAAGGAAGGCAAAACAGAGAAGTCAACCTTTTTTTTTCTTTTTCCTAATAGGGTAACATAGGTTTTCATTCTTGGATTTTAAATTGGCTGAACTATTTTTACTCAGTAATTTTTGGAGATAAAGGCTGAAAAAATTCAGCCCACAACATAGTTGCTTTGGGGAGCTCTACACAGTGGAAAATTGTGGCTGCATTGAAATCCTTAAAAAAATATTAAGTGGATAAAAAGGGGGGCTGCTGCTTTTTATTGAACTATTGCTTACAAGTGCATTGTCTTTAGAAAAACTAGTTTAATTACATACTTACAGACATAGATACCTTAGAATGATAGAATAGCATACAATGGCTTAATATTATTCTGAACACAATGAACAAACATGATACTTTATCCAAAAAATGTGAACTACTCAAATTTTATGTGGTGGCAGTATTCAAGATCATACAACAAATTTTTATAGCTTTGTTGGGGTTAAGGACATAAAATATCTAGAACATCTGGCTTTATCTTCTGTATATAACAGACTGGACATATTTGGAGATACACAAGTTAGTTTGTGTAGCTGAAAGCATTTTAATTCTCTAACTAAACTGTGGTGGAGGAGAGGGAAAATAGCCCTTAGATCTCTATCAATTTCAGCATTGCAAAAATTCCTTCCATTTAAATTGCTCAATAAAGATATACCATTAGAAGATGCTTGTTTCTCTCCTTGAATTCAAAATGGGGCCCAGTGTACATTAGCTGACATATCAGGTTGGCATTTAAATGGACAATTTTCACTTGTATTTTTGAGGCTTTTACAAAAGGCAACTTCTCTTGCCCTTGCATCCCCTCCTTCCCTGAGTCCTTTCATCCCCTTCCTCCTCCTTAGAAAAAAAAAAGAAAAACAAAGAAGAAAAACCAAATTCAGAGGGTTTTTTCCTTAACCCCAGTGCATAAAATGTGACTGTATTCTTTGTTTCAATGAAGACCTAAGAGAGTTACAAGTGCCATGCATGGTGCTGATGGCAGCACAGGTAAACAGGTAACCAGGTAATGTAAAAAAGTAAAGGCTCTGCTCTTTTCTGGGCTAGCCTGACTTCTAGAAGAAATCAGTAATGGTTTTGAAGAGTCCTGAGGAGAGCAATATGGAGGTGCACTGGGAGACATTTTCCAACTGCCAGAATTTTAGCTCTGTGAATGAGAATGGAGAGTTGTAATCATTTTTTCATGTTGCCATCTTTTTGTTTATTTGTACCACTCGTATTCTCTTAGAGAGAAGAAAACCAGAGTAGATTGCATATCATCATGACCAAGTTAATAAACAGTACAAAAGAGAGGAATAAGGAGAGTTGGAAATGTTCTTCTCATGTTATAGCAGGGTGCTTGTGCTGGCTTTCCTGTCGTGTTATGCATGGACAGTATGGATTCCTGACAAAACAATGCTGTTGTAACAGACAGCAATAAATACAAGCATATTTATAGGTTTCATACTGCTTATTCATTTGAAGAACTGTTGTCTTCCATATTTTCCGACATACATATTATCTGCTTGATAATACAAAGAAAATGAGTTGTGTGAAATTCAAGTGGGTGGAGGTGGGTGACCAGTTTGAAAGCCAACTGTAATACCTGTCCTACCTTTCTGTCATATATCTCTCATTTTCCCTGCACGATGTCAAGGCTGTAAGCACTTTGGTATGAAGATGATGAGGAAAAGCAAGAAAGTCATCATTGGAATAGCTGCTATACATAGTGTGCTCTTTCTTCCTCTTTCCCAAGGAAAACATATCATCTAGTAGTCTGTATTACAACATGATAGAATCTAAAGAGCCTTAAAACAACCTCTGAGGTGCAGAGGCATATTTCAGCTGGTTGGTTGTCCTTCGCGTCTTTTCCACTTTCCAATCAACTCCATCTTCCAGACCAAATGATTATGATTTCGTCATAAAGAATATAGACTACTTCACTGTGAGGTTTTCTGTTTGCATACAGAATCCCAGTGAAATCTGAAAAGGGTCATTTGTTTCACATTCATAGAGCTGGTTGTCAATAGCTCCTAAGTACTGAGGAAGCTTGGACTTGTTTATCCACTTCTACACGTAAACCTAGAACACTGCCATCTTATTTACTGCATAGACTCCAGGGATGGCCTCATTTTGAACCCCTGTGCTAGTTACTCCCTTTTTTCATGGCAGAGTAATACCCAGTGTTAAACGTAATACAATTAATTCAAAGACAATTAGCTTCCTCAAAAATATATTAAAGTAATGGAAAATTGCAATCCTTTTTGCCTCCACTTCGGTAACTACATGGATTCCTAACAAGTAAATATTTTTAAATTACACCCAAAGTACTTTATAGTGTTTATACATTCCTTCATAGGCAGTTATTGGGATCTTCTTGCTTTAGAATGTAATTTCTCTGTTGTCTGTTTATGTTTTCAGTTGAGAGCTGCTTAAAACATTTAATTTTATGTAAGTCTGATTTGGTAACATGTTGAGTTGAGCCTAATCCTTGGGGAAACATTTATATTTCACTGTTAGGCAATAGTTGTTAATGTTTATTCATGAAGGGTACATTACTCAAATAACCGACCGTAGACAAAAATTAAGATGCGTTAGCAAAATTTTGTGAACAGATGTGGCAATCCCAAGTCATCCTTTTAAGAATCTTTCAACTAAATTTATAAACAGGAATGTTCTGTTTAGGGAGTAGTTTGCTCTTTACTTATTTCTCTCTTTCTACCTGTTACAGCTTGGAGAAAACAAGAGTTGGAACGGTCAGAATGTTGGGTTTCCTGAGCCAACAAGTAACAGTAAGTATTGCTTTCTAAAGTTATATCTATTCTTACCAGTCTTGGTCTCTGTAGGATTTGGATTATTTAAGACAATTGAAATGTTTTGAGTAAATATTTAATGGTGTTTATTGCAATTAGATGAATTATCTCCTGATTGTGCTGTGTGTGCAGGTATGACAGAGTGCAGGAATAAGGAGATTTTTATTTACTTGTTGAATCATTGAATCCTTCAGTTTGTAAGGGATTTTGGAAGGTTGTCTGAACTGTCTACTCAAAGCACGGTCAGTACCGAGTTCAGACAAGGGTTCCTATGTCTTTTTAGCAGTTCTCCAAGGACAGAGATTCCATATCTTCTCTGGACACCCTGTTCCAGTGTTTAACTATCTTCACATTGAAGTTTTTTTCTTTTATCCTTGTCAGAACATCTCTTTGTTTATGACTATCATCTATTGTTCTTCTTCTATATACCTCAGTAATGTGCCTGGCTCTGTGTTTTTTAACAACCCCTTCTTAGATATTGGAAATCTGCTATTAGGTCTCTCACTGGAGGCACTATTAAGACCTCACTGTCCTCTAAATCTGATCCCCTAAACAGATTTCCATCATCTAGTGATTTATCTACCTAGATTCTAACATCACAGCTTGGACACAGGGATGCTGTGGGAGATGTGCTGTCAATAGGCTGGTAAAGCAAATGTAAATGGTATCCACTGCTCTCCCTTGATTCATAAATCCAGTAATTTTATCATAAAAGGCTGTCACATTGTTGAGGCTGGGTTTTATCCTTGGTAAATTCATGTTGGTTGTTCCCAATGGCTTTTTCCTCCTTCGTGTGCCCACAAACAGCTTTAAGAGGACCGTATGATTTTTCCAGGGACTAAGATGAGACTACCCAGGCTGCGTTTTTTTTATTATCTGATCTCCAAGGAAATGGGAAGTGAAATGTGATGTAGCTAGCATTTCAAAAGACATGCAGCATTTATTTCTGACATTGCCCTTCAGAGACCGCTGTGCTTAATTCCTTAACTCCTTTGTCAAGGGTACCAATCTAGAGGCAACATTAATAATCAGTTGATTAAAGTGTATCTTTTTTATTTCACTGAGACTGTGCTATTCTTTTGCAAAATAGGAGAGATTTGAACCCAAAATGTTATCAATGGCCATACACTTTTTTACTGATTCTTTAACTCCTTACCTCATAAAGAACCTTTCTCTTCTAGGGTATTTTCTTTAAAATTTACAGTTTAACTGTAGAAAATTCACAGAATGGTTTTGTTTCTTATTTAGATAACCAGTAAGTTCAGTTGATACCTTTCTACTGAATAGCTCTATAAAGATGCCTGGTTTTCAGAACGTGACTGAGGTCAGAGGATTGCTGCATTTGGAGAAGATTTATGCAGTACCACTTGATATTTCTCACTAGTTTTCCAAAGACATGATTGCTTATTGAGATGTTGTGCTAGTATTTAGTAGGGGAATGGTCTGCTGGTACCCGGTTACCTATGAGCACTTTGCCTGCTCTGCTTCTAGTACAATATTATGTGTTAGTTTCCCACACAGGGAATGCATAAAAAGTTCAGAAGAGCTAATATTGTTTTCCCTGTGCACCCCCACTGATCTTCCCCTAAGCCCTTGAATACAAGATAACTTCAGAGCTTTTTAATCGAGGAGAACTTAGGAAATTAGAAGAGTTTTCTTATTTTGAATGAAAGAAACCACTTGTCTACGTGATCTCTCATGCTCCTGTGTAGTGCAGGGGTTTTCTAAGGCAGTTTCAAACAAGTTCCACTGTTTGAGATAAAAAATGTCACATCCTTTCAGGTATGAATATGCTAGTTTATTTTTAAGAGCAGCTGTTGTTGGCAGGTGAATCTACTCTTGAAGTGTCAATTTTATACTATGAAGTTTTAAAGAGGTGAAGTGGAGCAGCTTCCTTCCTTTTGTATCCTTCTTATGTGAGAAATGTACGGTTTTGCATTTCTTGTTACCCTAAACCTTAAGTTTCAGGGGCCTTAAATATCTGAGGCTCTAAGATTGCTACATCTAGCATTTGGCAGCTCTTATTCAGATTTCCAGTAATTTTATTCCAGGAAAACAATTTTGTCCTGCTAGGGCAGCATATTGTGCATCAGTTTCCTTTTGCAGGCAGATATTCTTTCTTTGTGTGCATAATGTACTGTGTTTCCATCTGAAACCATGTCAAATAAAGCTGGAATAGTAAAGGGAAGTTGCATACTACAGTGCAACAAAACCAAAGTCATAAGAGTTCTACATTTTAGTACAGCTGAAGAACAGTTTTCATTGTACCCTTATTATATAGTTTGTTTTTGCTGAAAAATGCCCTACAATTCTAATGACTAGCTCAATATATGTCTAGTATTCCCTACTTTTGAAAATTCTTCTAGTATTTCCTATTCTTGAAAATTAACTTCTCCTGTTCCCCTCTATCATGTTATTTTTGCAATTAACCTTCCGGAAAACCTCACTTCTGTTCCTCCTACTCACTGGCAAAGCTCCTTCCCACAGGTTTATTTCTTTACCTTTCCTCTTCATTTCACAGTTTTCAAGAAAGATGAAACATGAAGCTATTTCTTTCTTGGTTTGGAATATCTTAGACATTTTAAAATGTGAAATGGCAAGAACATTAAGGTTTTTTCCCTGATGTTTCTGGAAGAGGTTTTGAGAGTCTGTGAGCAGACCAGAAGCATTTACAGCCCATACAGAAGATGTTTACTGTAAACAGAATGCTCATTTTTCTCTCTGGATTTGACTTAAGCCATTATCAACAAGAAGGAAACATGAAACAAATAAACAATCATAATGCAAAGTGTATTTTCGTGGGAACATATTTTCATTTTATATTTCTGGATGGGGTAATCACAAACATCATACAGTATGTGTTCGAGGAAAAGCTGTAGACGAGCTATGAAGAACAATGTAAAAATAAAAGTAACAGTACTTTTATATATTATCATTCTAAAGAGGAAAAAAAAACCCCATAACTATTTTTATATGTTTCTCACCTATTTTCAGCAGTGTGGGGAGTCACAAAGCATGTACTGGAATGCTCATAATTAAAAAACCCCAACCTTCAGAGCAATCCTACCTCACTCTAAAGGACAAGCTCTTTGTTTTTCTTGCCTAACATTTTATTACTAGAGATTCATGCATGACTTTACAGTCTTTGTTCTACAGAGTACATTTGCTCCTGCTGTTTGTCCACCACCTGAAATCATAACCATTTGTTTGTGACATCACAATTAGTTACTGTGAAGATGATTAGATTGTCACCAACAGACAATTATGATTTCAGATGGTAAATGAGCAGCAGGAGCAGATGATCTCCTAAGGAACAAAGATACTTGATCTCATGCAATTGTTCTCAGGGACAAAAAAAAAGGAGAGAAAAAACCAAATAGATATTAAAAATACTTTCTTCAGTCTGTACTGAGGAAATCTGAACATTTTTCCATAAATAGCCCTTATTTCAGTATTTTTTAAAATCTACTTCAATAATTAAGAATATAAGTAATATAAAAACATGTGGTGTTATTGTAGCCCTAATTGTCTGGTTGCATTCGGATTCTTACTTAGATGTTTCTTTGCCAGCTTTTGGGAGAAAATAAATGCAACATAAATCATGTATTTATGAAATTTTACATCCTAATACATTTTCACTTTGAAGAAAACAAAATTTATGTGAACTTTGTTGTTGTGGCCCTCACTAGTTTTATAACGAGAATATATCTGGTCCTCTACGTGTTTATTTTTCGACTGAGGATCTTTGTGAAGACTTCCAGTAGATAATTTGATACCCCTGTATTTCCATGAACAGTAACTGAAGTCTGCAGCTTGGGAATAAAAATTTTGGTTTGTAATTTGGACATATTTAATTGGAATTTATTTATTTTGCTGAAGTATGTCATTCTTTTGAGTGTATTTCAAAGGTGATTTGCAGTGGATTGTATGCATTTTTACTCGCTAAGTACTGCTCTTGCATTGGACTTGGCTTTTAAATTGCTTCCAAACTTCCTAAACTTAGTTGTCAATTATAATGCACTCTTGCTAGGAGCTAGATTGATGCATCACTAAACATTGGTGGAATTAGTTACCAATCTGAATAGAAACCACAGTAAGAGGGATTGACAACACCACTTATTTGGTGAAATAAAGGCCACAGAACAGTAGTTTCCCACTGTTTGTTTTGGGGTTTCATTTTTCTGTTTTATGGGGTTTTTTAGCAAACATACTGTGAGGTGAACATTATACCATCACTGGAGCAGTTCCATCAGCTGAGCCACTTGTCTACACTCTGTATGTCTCACAAACTTGTCTAGTGTCTCTTATCACAGTTGGTTATGTTTAAATAACACCTTGTCTCTGTAGCTGCTGAGTTGATGTGCTAATTTTCTAACTAAATTTTCTTTCCAAATGAAGACACAGAAAAATTTAATTTAGGAGCAGAGAAGATTTGTCCAATTCTGTTTCTTCCCTGAGTTACTGAAGCTAGGAAATCCATGCTGTATTTGGCGTTGTTAATAACTGATGTGTTATTTTTCAGTTTCATCTAGCAATGAGAATGAGATAACTTTATTGAGAATAATGCCAATTAAATGCATCTTGCATATACTTTTTGAAATAATTGATAAAACATTTAAAACACCTAATATTGAAACCCATCTCCTATTAACAAAACTGGGAAGGGCGTGAGGTTGCTTTTTCCTTGCTGGTTTGAGAACTAGTGGCAAAAGCCAAATTAGCATTTTTATGTGTGACTTGGGTACAGGTCTGGAGTGTAAGATGGCAACTGCAAGTGGTCCTCCTCCTTTCCCCATGTTTCCCCTTTTGAGATGCTCAGGCGCTTAAAGTCCTGGCAAGTGTCTTATCTTTAGGGATGATGCTTTCTTCGCTGAGTTTAGAGTACAGTGTATATTTATAAAGTGCCTGGTGTTTTAAACATGTGCCCAGAACATTGGGAGACTTAGATTTAGTTTCCTTCTTCAGCAGAAGTAGAGTAC